TGTGTGTGTGTGTGTGTGTGTGTGTGTGCGGGTGGGTGTGTTTTAGCCATCTTGAGGGGACATAAATCTGATTACAGATCTGATTTTTGGGGATTCCCCTTTTTGGGTACAATGCGGAGACAATTGCACATCACCATTACCTAAATATTACAGTTTCAGGAAATTAATGTTAGTCAATATAATGTCCCCAAAAGTCATGATAACATGACTGTGTGTGTGTGTGTGTGTGGGTGTGTGCGTGCGTGCGTGCGTGCGTGTGTGTGTGCGTGTGTGTGCGCGTGTGTGTGTGTGTGTGTGTGTGTGTTGGGGGTTGGAGGTGATTCAACTCACCCTGCCCCCTTTATTGAGTGCTGGTCCACAAGCACAGCTGTTAGTAACAGAGACAATGAATGGAAATTGTGTGTTACGGTGACAACACATGATGAGGTGTGATGAGCAGTTCATCGGCCCAACATTCATACACCAGTATAATCAGACAGCTGTATAATTAGTAGTAAAATACAATCAAAAGGGTCACACGTAGTTGTTTAAGCTCTAAGAAAACTAAATGCATTGATTGGAATAAAATCTTTTAACGGTGAAGTTGCAGATTGCAGATTGTTTAGTGACTATTTCAAGTGAATGTACGTTGGAAGTTGCAGTTTGTGCAGAAATAAAAATAATACGATTATGTAAACGGCTCATTCTAAGGGGGTGAAAACACAACTAGTCTTATTTTCAAGTGTTAAAACATTAAAGAAAACCTACTTATCAATATCATATTCCATTTCTGGCAATAGATCCTCCTATATGTTATACTGTGTTCCTTTAAATGCAAAGCTAATCTTAACAGTGAGTGCTGTTGTACAGGTGAACCCAAGTGCAGGACACTGACACAGAGGTTTGTTGTGAGACCAGGCTTGACGAGGGTGAGTGATGTGGACAGGTTGCACAAGGGTAGCAGACAGGAGTCCTGGTGCACACGTATCTGCTTTAGTTTTAGAAGATAATGATCCCCATTCAGGGAGGACCCAGATTTCTATAGATGTGAAGATTATTTCATTTCTGAATCGGATTATGTTTGTTGCACATTTTTCCAAAATTATAGTCCTAAATTTGTTAAATTTGCAGGCAAGCGCCACAGCCTATTATCAGTCTAACCAATAGCACGCTAAGATACAGACGGAGGGATCATCATGATCAGATTTACCTACATTGAGCACAACTGTTTGAGGAATATACAAAAGGACAAGGTAGCAGCACCATGTGATGTGTTGGGGTTATTTATGATATTGGAAAATGCTATCGATGCAACTAGTTTGTTTTGTACAACATTGTGTTTAAAGGTAAATCAACCTTTTGTAAGTGTAAAGGTGGTGCTCGCTCTAATAATGATGGCAGCATCATGCTCCTACGGGTGAGGGGGAATTGAAGTGGCCTGCATCTATTTCTCTTTAGATAGTTTTCTCCCCCACTCTCTTGTATCATCACTGATTGAAGAATTCAGGTTAGTGACACTACAGTTATGTGTCAAGAGCCGTACCCATCCTCTACAGCTTTCAGTTTGAAGTTGCAGTGCTTCCCTCAAATTTATAGGATGGTCCTCAAACTACTGGTGTTGTCACGGGGAGGTGCTGTGTGATATGCAGAAGCAGAAGTTACACCATTATTTGTCGCTATTTTATATGTTATCTACTGTTATTACTTTTATATGAACCACAGATCATCCAGTTTATTCAAATTATGACATTTTTAGAATGTGGCTTTGTACTTCAAAAACAAGGGGTAGCAATGCTTGTATGTCTTTCTTCAGTAGGTCCCACACATCATGGGGGAAAATAGCAGGTGTGTCAAAATGTTGTGATTTTAATTTTTGTGTGTGTCAATTGAGTTGATCATCTGAGATGAAATGGAGCAGTCTGGGTCTTGTCCCTGTCTGTTTTTAATGGATGTAGTTTAAAGTTTCGGAGCACTTCATTGGACTTTAGATGTGATGTGACGGAGTGAGGGGGGCTATGCTGTGCTTCTCTTCATCTCCCACGCACTGACTATCCCGTATTGCATTCTCTCATCTGGTCATTTCCTGTCACCACCGCCAATAACTCCCCTTTGCAGGTAGGGGGGCTCTCGACAGAAAACACTCCCTTTAGTCCTTCTCCTCTGTCTCCTTGTTTCAGTAAAGGAAATAAAAAGGGTTCAGTCAAACCAGAGAAAAGAGACGGCTCAGGTTAGACCTCAGAAATGACAAGGGTCACATTAGACCAGAGAAATGAGAGGGGAATTGTGTGAGGTCAAAATAGACCTGTGCAATGAGCTAACAATAGACCAGCACAATGAGTGAGGTCACATTAAACCATGTAAGATGACCAAGGTCACCTTAGACCAGTGATTTTCAAACGCTGTGCCGTGAGAGATCGTCAGGTGTGCCGTAGGAAAATGTCCAATTTCACTGAATGAGTCCAACAAAACGTTATTTAATTGTTGCAAATACGTTGCCATTGTTGAGTGTCAGAGCTGCAATATAGTGGCTGGCTAAGTAATAAATACTCTTCCATGCCAGTGGGTGGCAGTAGGTAGCGCAGTAATGACCGTGTTAATTTAGGACAGTAGAATGAAATGACTAAACATGGAGAAGCAGCGTTCAGTTTTTCTGCTCCACATATCTGGAACAAAGTCCCAGAAAGCTGCAGGTCTGCTGAGACCCTCAGCTCCTTTAAATCAAGATTGAAGACTTTCTGTTTGCTGCTGCCTTTAATTCAACCAGATTCAAGGATATTAATGAATTTCCTGCATTTTACTACTCTATTTTATTTCTTACACTGCTTTCTAGTGTTTTAATGAATGTTTTTAAATCTCCTTTTCTTTTGCCTTATGTTTTGATGCTTTTAATGATTTTATGTGAAGCACTTTGAATTGCCTTGTTGAAATGTGCTATACAAATAAACTTGCTTTGCCTTGTTTGCATGTATTATATTGTACAGTGTATTTTTTTATCATGTTTTTTGGGTTAGTAAATAAAGGAGCCAACTGAGCCTATATTTACATTGTAGCCCATCGTGTCCATTGTGTCTGGTCCATGCCACTCACCCTCCAACAATAACACTAATATAAACAAGACAAGCTAAATATTTTGTTAACTGTAACTTTTAAGGTTAGGTAATATAAGCAGCAACTTTGCTAATCTTAACTAATCTTATGAGTTTGTTAATGTTAATTACTTATCAATTATAATCTTATTATCTGCTGCTCAACATGACGTTACTTAACATAATAAGTTACAGTTTTATCAGAATATTAGAGTTGTATTGTTCACCTTGGTGTTATTGGTGGAGGACATTTGGCTTTTTAAAACGAATCAACGTGTGCTATTGTATCCTTATGATTTTCTCTGCTTTACACAATTTCAGACGTCACAAGCCCACGGAAGACCTGAGCCTGGAGTTCTGCAGCTAGAGTCTTCTCCTGGAGAGACACAAGTCTTTGTACAAGTTTTTCCACTTTGCAGAAGTACTCCCCAACACCTGAAAACAGACTTCGATTGTGTAAAATCAGTGGAGATTGCCTCAAAGAATGTCTTGTGATTGCATTGCAAAGAGTTGATCAAACGTATCAGACCAAGAGCTTATTATTCCCACCAAAAAGATTTTCAATACCTTAGAATGGAAAGTGTGTGTACGATGGGATGTGTCAAAAGAGCCCTTCAGCCCATGGAGTACACTGATGGAACCTGAGCATAATTAGATTGTCTGCTGTAGTAATGTGGTTAGCTGTAGAGGAGCACACTCCCTTTAGTATAGAAAAAAAGTCTCAATGCTCTGAATCAGGCTGTCAAATACCAAACTGTTTGATAGTCACAAAAGAGTCCATCTCTATACATAGTCATAGACCAAATCCACATTTAATAAGCCAACTGCGCTGCGACTGTAGTGCTGTTTCTTCATCCATGAAATGGTTCAAGTCAAGGACCACTAAATTAAGCTTTTGGATATTTTTTTGTTACACCCTTTGATATAGTAAAATGTATATACATAAATATACATAAAATGAGACCAAATTCATTTTCTTTTACACAATTGATGACTTCCATTTAGTGCCGTTATTTTTTTTTGTTGCCATGTTCAGCTAATTGCACAATAAAGTATGCAATTTCAAAATTCAGTATTTCAGCTACAAGGGGCTTTACTTTAGAGATGACATGGATAACCTCTCTGGCCATTTTAAAGGATCTGCAGGGTTACGTCATGCCTTGGTATCATACGGATCTCCAGATAATGAAACTGGATGTAAACCCAGTGCTACAGTGTGGGGTGGAAAACCTGGTCCTGTTAACTGTCCTCCATGAGCAGATAAAGGTAGAAGCACCCCCCTGCTGTATGGAGAGCAGATACTACAGAGATCCATTCTTTCACTCGTTCAGCTTTCCCAGCCTTTCTTGCCTCTTCTCCCAGTCAGCAGTACTTGAGAACTTCACTGCGGACTTTTAAAAATGTCATTTAATACTAGTACACTGAGTACACTGCTCAAAAAAAAAAATGAAGGGCACACTTAAATCACACATCAGATCTTGATGAACAAAATATTCAAGTTGAAAATCTTTATTGATATATTGAAATCGTCATTGTGTAATTCCTCGAGAACAAAATGACATAAGAACGGTCAATGGAAACCAAAGTTATTAACCCATTGAGGGCTGGATTCAAAATCACACCAAAAATCAAAGTGAAAAGGAAATCACGGCTGATCCATTGTTTTGATTTTCATTAAAGGACACAACTCATAATGTGGCTCAGCAGTGTGTTTGGCCCCACGTGCCTGTATGCACACCCGACAACGTCTGGGTATGCTCTTAATGATACGGTGAATGGTGTCCTGGGGGATCTCTTCTCTGGATCACAGCATCAGTGAGCTCCAGGACAGTCTGTGGAGGTACTTGGTGGTGCTGGATGCACCGCTACATAACGTCCCAGAGGTTCTTATTTAGATTGAGGTCTGGGGAATGTGAAGACCAGTCCATGGCATCAATGCCTTCGCCATCCAGTGACCACATGAGGCCGGGCACTGTCCTGCAACAGGAGGAACTCAGGGTCCACTGCACCAGTGTAACGTCTGACAATGGGTCTGAGGGTTTCATCCCTGTACTTAACAGCAGTCAGGGTACCGTTGGCTAGCACGTGGAGGTTTTTGCCACCCTCTAAGGATATGCCTCCACAGACCCTCTGCCGGTCATGCTGAATGATGTTACAGGCAGCAAAGCATTCGTCACGGCATCTTCAGACTCTTTCACGTCACATGTGCTAATTGCGAACCTGCCTTTTACATTTTTTAATTGATATCTAAGGTGCCAGTGATATGTTGGGTCATTGTACTTTGGCTTCAGCATTCAGCCATGATGGTGATGCTTTGTTTCAAATGGAACTCTATATTGTGATCTGTATTAAATACAGTGCAAATCTCCATAACAACAGCTAACCCCTCTTCTCCTACTCACACAGACAGATGCACAAGCACAGCTTGTGTCAAACATAATACTGCTCTCCAGCTCAACCACTCATTTACTGGCTTTTTATCTGACACATCATGGCATTTTCCAGTCACAACCCCCAGCAGAGGAAAGTTTCAGGGTTCCATTAAGCATCAGATCTAGGCCCTGTTCACTATCTTTGAGTGCTTTCTCATGCATCAAATCATAATAACACTGAGATGTAATCCCACTAATTAAATTCAAATCAATTTGTTTGTATAACCCAAAACCCCAAATCACAGAGTTGTCTCAGAGGGCTTTACAATATGTGCAGCATATAACATCCTCTGTCCTTGGACCCTCACATCGGGAAAGGATAAACTTCCCAAAAACCCTTTTACAAGGGAAAAAAAAAATAATAATAATAAAATATCAATTTTCTATAGCGCTTTTCAAAATACCCAAAGATGCTTTACAAGACAAACAGAACAAACAAACAAAAAAAAGAAACATCAGAGAGCAACAGAGGAGGGATCCCTCTCACAGGACGGACAGAAGTGTGAACAACAAAATAAAATGACAACATAGTCAATTCATGAGATGTAAATTATACATACAAGGACAGAAGCAATAGCAGTAGCAGTACTAATATTAGCAGAATAATACAAAAAAGATGACTACTGATAATAACAGCCAGCAGTGGATACTATAGAATAATTGTCACGGTTTAGGCTTTGCCCCCTGTGTTCCTGTGTTCCTGTGTCTCTGTCTCTGTGTGTGTGTGTGTGTGTGTTTCCCCTGATTGCACTCATCCTTCTCACCTGCCCAGTCCACCCAGCTGCCTTCAATCTTCTCATCACCCCACACATATATACTCCCCTGCTTTCCCTGTTCTGGTTGTCAGATCGTCCTTGTTCGTTCCCCTGTCTGTTCCAGCATTGTCTCCCTCATGTTTGCTCCTGGTTGGTACCTTTGCCTTTTTTGTGACTTTGCCTTTTTGTATTTTGTTTGGATTTTTGCCCGCTCCCTGTTGGAGTCGCTTTAAGTTTTTGTTTATGACTTTTTAAATAAAATACCTTATTTCCAACTTCACCTCGTCTCCAGTGTCTGTGTCTGCGCTTGAGTCTCTGATCTGCCCCTCGGACGTGACAATAACAGTGATAATTAAAGCAGTAACAGTGCCACCTGCCCATCAGGACTAACTAAGCATTCAGACCCATTCACACACTGATGGCACAGCCTTCGGGACCAATTTTGGGTTAAGAGTCTTGCCCAAGGGCACATTGACATGAACTAGAGGAGCCGGGGAACGAACCGCCAATTTTGTAAATGAGGACCCACTCTACCTTCTGACCAACAATCGCACCTTAATGGGACATGAATATATACAGATGGAGAGATGAGCTCAGTGTATCCTAGGAAGTGGCCTATAGCAGCATATCTAGGGGCTGGACCAAGGCAAACCTGAGCCAGCCCTAACTGTAAGCATTATCAAAGAGGAAAGTCTTAAGCCTACTCTTAAAATGTGGTGAGGCTGTCTGCCCCCTGACTGAAGCTGGGAGCTGGTTCCACTGGAGAGGATCTTGGTAGCTGAATGATCTGCTTTCCATTCTATGTTCCCATTCTATTCTCATACAGTACCCTTTTAACCCCCACCTTAACTTCGCTCTCCAATGGGCGTCAGTATTGGGTCATTAGTCAGGAAACCAATCCAGGCACTCCAACATCTTAGAACAATGCGGAAGGATGTATTAAATAGCCTTTATTTTAGTGGCTGAATCATGAAAAGAGCAAAAATGTTTCGACAGCTTTAGGTCTTCGTCACAGCATGAGGCGGCAACCTTGGGTTCTGAAGAGTGAAGCCGATGCAAAAGTGTCTTAAAGCTGCATTCTCTCTAGTGTCCATCAGGGGGCGACTCCTCTGGTTGTATAGAAGTCTATGAGAAAATGACTCTACTTCTCTCTTGATTTATTACCTCAGTAAACATTGTAAACATGAGTTTATGGTCTGGAGAAGTTGTTAAGGATCAAATCTGTGGTTGATTTGTCAAATATGTAGGTTACACTGGAACTGCTACAGTGAGTCACTAATATTACAGTGTGTCTGTGAATCATAACGATCATAGTAACTTTACACTCTGTTTAGCTGTTCACTACAGACAGTGTTATTACACATTTACCTATTATTTAGCCTGAGACAACATGAAAACTGAAAGACGTACTGACTTTATTTTAACGGCTCTCTGTAATCGGGAAGGACCGATAAGACGTTTACAGACTTTACTTATTATTTCTCCTGCTCTGATCAGCAGCTGTCTCCTCTCAGCTCACCCATGGCACTCTCTCTCTCTCCCTTTTAAGTTATTCGTTTTATAGCCAAGCAACGTTCACACATACTCACGAGCCCCCGGCTGAGCGCCGCTGTGTTGGAGTTCTCCCCGGAGAGCGAGAGGGTCGCCTCCATGCGCTTACGGGTTGCGGGGAGCAAGGCTCTGACTGTGGTTTGTGCTTATGCACCAAACAGCAGTTCGTAGTATCCGGCCTTCTTGGAGTCGGTGGGAGGGGTCCTGGAAAGGGCGTGGCCTACCGACTCCATAGTTCTCCTGGGGGACTTCAACGCTCACGTCGGCAATGATGGAGAAACCTGGCGGGGGGTGATTGGGAGGAACGGTTTGCCCGATCTGAACCCGAATGGTGTTTCGTTATTGGACTTCTGTGCTTGCCACGGTTTGGCCATAACGAACACTATGTTCGAACATAAGGTGGCTCATAAGTGTACCTGGTACCAGAACACCTTAGGCCGGAGATCAATGATCGACTTTGTAATCGTATCATTTGATCTGCGGCCGTATGTCTTACACACTGGGGTGAAGAGATGAGCACAGCTGTCAACTGATCACCACCTGGTGGTGAGTTGGATCAGATGGCAGGGGAACCGGTTGGAAAGACCCGGCAAACCCAAACGTGTAGTGAGGGTGAACTGGGAACGTCTGGCGGAGGACCCTGTCCGGGAGGTCTTTAACTCCCACCTCCGGAAGAACTTCTCACACTTCCCCAACTGGGAAGAGACCCCGGGGAAGACCCAGAACACGCTGGAGAGATTACATCTCCCAGCTGGCCTGGGAACGCCTCGGGATCCCCCAGAATGAGCTGGAACATGTTGCCGGTGAGAGGGAGGTCTGGGTCGGCCTGCTTGACCTGCTGCCACCGCGACCCGACCCCGGATAAGCGGTGGAAAATGGATGGATGGATGGAAGGTTGCTGCACTCTCTCTCTCTCTCTCTCACCACAGATTTTTTGTTGATTTTAGATAGCGTGCTCAAAAATGTATCGTTGTTGTTAGTTTAGATATTAGTTGACTAGATCATTATTATTGGAACTTAATAAACTCTGTTATATTTTAAAGAGCAGCTGTCTGTGATTACTTTGTGCATGTATTGTGATAATAGCTGATATGTGGTCTGTGCTCGAACTTAAACCTTCACTTTCACTCTGAATGTGTAATAGAACTCAGACTATTGACATTGTAAGTGAATATTAATTATGAGACTTAGTTTATCGTTTGGTTATTGGTCCCTGTTTGCAGGGTGGTGCCCCGTTATTATTAATAATTGTTAATAATCTTACTGACATTAATAATTCTATTGATGTCAATAATTTAGTTTTTCATATTTGCTGATAACTCAAACACGCTCCTTTTCCTTCCAAACACCGTAATATTATTACTGCTAGATTATAGCAACACAGCATTTTAATGTCACAACTGAGTGGTTAATGTTTTCTATTGTAATCTGCAAAGTAACTCGTAACTAAAGATGTCAAATACATATAAAAGTAGTAAAAAGAAAAATATAACTCTGAAGTACAAAGTAACTGTATTTAAATTAATTAATTTGTAGATCGCAGTAGCTACACCACCAAGAGAAAGGCCAGCACTGAAAGTGCGACACATGGTAAGAAGAAGAGGGGTGACAACACTGACTCCAACACCGGGGAACCCACCAAGATGTCAGTGGAGGACATCAGAGAGACTGACAAGGAGGAGGCTGGTGCTCAGCAGCCGCCAGCAACAGAGACTCCCAGGACGGAGGAAGATCGGCTCTGACCTCTCCAAGAGCTCCAGCAGCCCTTCATCCTCCCAACAGAACAATAGGAGCTCGTCCACATCAGTCAAGATATGCAGACGTAAGCTGATAGTGTGAAAGAAAGTTTAACACTCCTGGCTAGCGCTCGGCCAAGAAGTAGCTCCCCGTGAAACTAAAACATGTAGGTTTTTTTTTTATACACTTTTTGTACGGATTAAAACAAACCAGATCAAATGTCTTAATTGGTGAGTTTCTGAGGTTCTGGTCAAAATATTTTGCGACATTTGGACAGCGCCATAGCTTCGATTTCCACATTCCAGTCTCAAACTAAGCTAACCTGCTAATGGTGGTGGCTTCATATTTACCGTACAGACATGAGAGTTTCGATCTTTGCCTCTAACTCTCAGCAGCAAAAAAGCAAGTAATTGTATTTCCCTAAATATGAAAATATTCCTTTTGTAATTTGAAGCAAACTAAAAAACTTAAAATTAAAAACGTCTAGATTTACATGTGAAGAATGTTGCAGGCTGTAATGTAGAAGAACAGCAGAAGATTTTCTAGCCCCCAGGTTAACAACCTCTGGTTTCAACCATAGCGTCTAGCTTTAGTTTAAACATAGTGACGTTAAGGTCAGATGTTCCTCACAGACTTTGTGAAACATGAATCTGTGTTTGTGTTTGTGTGTGTAGCGAAATTTGAGGAAAAGTACCTGCAGCTTAAAACCTTCTGGTGAGAGTGACCCCCATTTGGGTGCCGAGCGAGACCGTTTAGAGTGGTACTGTGGTTCCGAATGGACTTTTTATTAAGAAATATCAAAAATGCTCCAGACATATTAAATACCGAATTAACGACAAAAGTCTGGGCAAAATGATCATACCAGCCATTTTACACACTGCAAAACACAATTATACACGAACTAAGATCATATCTAGAAGATATCTATAAGTTTTACCACAATACCACGTTGTTTTGGCCAAAAAACTGTGTACTATGCTCTTTCTTTGGGTCTCTCATGAGAAAGCGCGCAGCGATCATGGCAGATGAATACATTCAGTAGGGTCGTGATTCGACCCGGCATCGACTGGCGTACTCTCTTTCAAACCGTTCAAAAGTTATATATATCAAAGCCAACCATCAACCCATAGCTCAGCAGAAAATAAATTGGGTAAAAACGTACCTTTTGCTGATTTTTGTGATGAAAAACGGATTTATTCCATTGAAATTTGCAGCAGCTGCATACTGCTTCTCCCCTTCGTGTCTGTGAGGTGGAATGGCGGCTCTCCGAGAATGAATAAGAAAATGGCAAAGGATTCAGCCAGCTGGACCAATGAATGTAGACCAAATGATGCCAAACTGCTTTATTAGGATTATTGAACACTCTTAGTGATAAGACAAGTGAATATATAGTTAATATTTAGTTATATAGTATATAAAATTAGAATACAGCAATGTAACTGCTGGTTCCAAAAATTAGAATTTTGCTTGACTCAGACCATTTATGCTGGCCTGCTTCACTCAATCAAAGTAAAATATGTTGTGGAGACATGTAAAACGTGTTGTGCTATGACTGTGGTGTATTTTTAGGCTTTAATCTGCATTATTTCAAATAAATATTTCAAGTGGAGTGCTTTTTTTTCAATTTGAGCTGTGCCATATGTGTATATGTTATTAACGAGTAACATATACACAATATTTACACAATTCAACATATCTCACAAGTGTTACCTGTATTATACCATCAAAATTATTAAAATAGACCTTGTAGTTAGAGATCTGGACTCTCTTGAGTATGGGTATGCAATTTTCGAGCAGAGGCCTAAAAATAGGGCTCGGGGGCTGTCGTCACTAAAAGGTTTGAACTTAAAAAGCTCGTAGGAGGCTTTGGATCAGTGTATGCTGGGAACATAAAAACTGATCATTTACCAGTAAGTATTACGTAGGTATTCTCACATCACACACACACACTGAATGCTCCGTGCACTAACCAAAGTACTAGTGATTCTGTCGTATAGGTGGCCATCAAACACATCCCCAAAGTTGATGTGGAGAGTCGACCAATGGTGAGTGATTTGATTTGATGTCTCATCCCCAACTGTTAAAATCATTGTTGAACTTTTTTCCTTTCTAGTTAATTTTTGTTGACAAAGAAAAAAACAACCACTTATATTAAAATACTCATTTAGTTCTGTATATTGTTTCCTCCAGGTCTTTAATGGGAGGACACACATGGCAGAGGCACTCCTCATGTTGAGAGCAGGAGGTGAACCAGCGTCTGCGGCCGTGTCATTAATAGACTGGTATGCTCTGGACCAGGAGGTTCTCCTGGTCATGGAGAGACCAGTCCCCTGTGTGGACCTGTCAACATATGTGGTTAACAACAATGGTCTACTGAGGGTAGACCAGGCCAAGGTACTGAAGCTGGGTGGAGCATGTTTCTGTTTCAGTGTTTGGTGTTCTCTTCAAGCTTTTAAATAGTTTTTCTTTATCTCTGTCTCAGAACATCATGAAGCAGCTGGTGGAAGCAGCCATCAAAATGCACTCTGAGGCGGTCTTCCATCGCGACATAAAGACAGAAAATGTCCTTGTCGAAACCAACTCCAATGTCCCTCGAGTGCGGATCATAGACTTTGGATGTGGCTGCTACATGAAGAAGAGGCCATACCGCCACTACTCTGGTACGACGTCTGGCTTCTGCTCCTGCCCTTCATCTGTTGATCTCTGGAGTGACTTTCATTTAAATCTTACTCTCATCCTTTGTTTCTTTCTGTCTCCATCGATGTGTCTGCGTATTGTAGGAACTGCTGGGTACGCTCCTCCAGAGTTTTATTCACAGGGTAAATACGAGGCCCTACTTTCTACACTGAATAACAAAAAAATGTAGTCAGCCAGATCATGCACAGCTTGGCATTTCTACAAAAGAAACTTAACGAGGTGGATGTGACCAGGAATAAAACAGAAGTTTATTTTGAAACGACACTATGCATGTAACGCGTTGAAACTGATGGTATGTCCCACTCTGTGTTCCGGTTCTCATAAACACATTCAGGCCGTTCGGCCGCTTCTTTGTTTGTCAAATTAGTTGGATCTGAGTTGCTGTGTGCACGGATTCAGGCCCAGTTTGGAATACATCACCTTCCTAATGGCCTTTGTCTCTGGTTGTTTACCAATAGGAAAAGCCTGTTAGGGTGAAGCACATATTAAATAGCAATAGAAGTTACCTGGATGTAACCCCTCCTCTATGAGTACAAGCATAGCCCTCTAACTGCACGCCCAGCTGGACCCGGTCATCAGTTAATGAGCCCATGAGTGAGCCAAGCGATGACTGTGCCCCAAACTTGATAGGGTATGTGTGCAAAGATGTAACAATGCAGCGGCAGAGCCTCATTGGGGTAAACCACTAGGAAAGCCTGTGGGAGGACTTTGCATGTGATGCACCAATAGAACTGTAGTAGGGCTGTCACCATAGAATATTTTCACTACACGACTATCGTAATTTATGATAACATTATTATTGTGATATCTATAGAATATACAGTTGTGTGAAAAAGTGTTTGCCCCCTTCCTGATTTCTTATTTTTTTGCATGTTTGTCACACTTAAATGTTTCAGATCATCAAACAAATTTAAATATTAGACAAAGATCACTTTTTCACACAGGGCCATGTAGGTTTGGATTTTTTTTGCCCCTTAATAATAAAAACCTTCATTTAAAAACTGCATTTTGTGTTTACTTATGTTATCTTTGTCTAATATTTAAATTTCTTTGATGATCTGAAACATTTAAGTGTGACAAA